CTGTTAAGATTGCTGCTGCTTTCCTGACTGCTGATCAAAGTGACAAGGGGGATTGGCTTGCTGCATTGATTTCAGCATGCATAGGACTGTGCCCTAAATGTATGCCTTTTGCACCAGGTTCCACTTGGTGCATCTCACAGTTCTAGTAGAAAACCAAGCCCATCCTAGGTTTAGAAATATTGCTAAAATCAATTAGACCTTGGATTGCTCAGTGCCTGGATGGCTGCCTTGAGTTCCCTCGAAGAAAGATATTATATAAATAGAGGTTTAAAGTCAGGTTTTTAAATAATCATTCCGCTCTTCCAGACCTGAACTGAGAAATATTCTGGTGAGAGAGCTGAAGCAATGTAGGGAACTCTTGCAACAGAACAGCCAGAACATAAATACAGGTGACAGGTGGTTAAAATTATTTACTTGTACTATGCCTTAGGGACCAATTGAGTAGAATTACTGTTGGTGTGATTTTCCTTCCATCTCCCAGAATAGCCACTGATGAAGCACCAGAAAAGGACACCGTGGTGATTTGCATAAAATTTGCATAGGCTAACTGATATGCATAGATCCACACCTAGACATCCCTAATAATAACCCAGAGATACAGTGCATTTTGCCATAGGGTGGAAGATCATAGAAGACCAGGCGACCCGTGTGTCTCACTCAGCCTGTTGTCCAGCGGATGCTGATAGGCAATTTCAAGGTCCAGTTCTTCTTTCTGCTAGATCTTTTGTCTTTAAATCAGAGCTGCAAAGGACACCTTCAAAACAGAGGACAATGATCTGTCAGCTGATTGGGGGGCTGCTTGGTGTACAAGAGGAGATACTGCCATTCTAACATTTCTGCAAACAATATACCTGGCTGGGTTGTTTTACTGAAAGCTGAACATTCAGGGAGACTTGGTTAAATGGGACAGACTCCCACCCCTGCACACACCCCACCATGCCTGTGACAACAACCATGGTATGGTCACCTCTGAACAACCAAAGAAGAGGTGCTTTCCTACACTGGAAGGTTTTTTGTTTTATTATTTTCTTTTAGCAATTGATGTGCCACCAATAGCTAATATCGATGTAGTTGAGCAGGTACATTATGATATATTTTCCTAGTTCCTTTTACAGGCTGGTATTTATATTTCAGACTGGCTGAAATGAGTGCAATCATTCATGAAAAACACGGTAATGACAGAGAGGCCGCAGGTAGGGAGGCAATTTAAACAGATCTCACCCAGGAAAGTATGATCCACCCTCTGAAAGACAGTATTATCTCCGTGCATTAGCTTGAAACAGAGTCAAAGCAACCTCATATCCAAAGGGATTTGGGCCGCTGTTCCCAGCAGAGGATCACATAAACACAAGAGAGCAAAAGGAAGATACAGTGAACAAAACAACTATTAGGTATTAGCGGCATCAGAGCGCTCAGCCCCCTTTTGGAAATCTAGGTGCACTGGCAATATAATACCGTTTCCGAGCGAGCGGCTGGGCACCTCCTCCAGGGATCCATTATGCTCTCAACAGAAGAGCCACAGGAGACTGACAGATGGCTGCAGGGGATGACATATTGCCTGGAAAACCCAGGATAAAACCGATATGCAGGAGAGCGAAACAGCAGCTGATATTTCAATGGAAGAATGCAAACCGCTCCACTTGAAAGCATTGCAGGCCCAAAGAGGCCTCCAAAACCATAGCGGTGTCAGAGACAGGGAGTGTCTGTAAAATGTCACATGCTTCACGAAGGAACAAAAGACGACTCCTTTATGGAACGGCAAATATAGCAAGAGGGCCAACGTCCAAAGGACAACAGGGTCTTCCCCATGCTATGCCCGTTGTGCGTATATGGCAGCAAGACATGCCAATCCCATAAACCATCCCTCATTCATGCAGTGGGGGGGTGTCTTATTTTACAGAGGGCAGTTCTCTGTTTGAAGCTTTATCAGGACTTTGTTCAAAGGTACCTTCTGTTGGAAAGACTGTGGAGCCTTAATCAAATTTAAGAACACTCTGTAAGAAGAGAAGGTGCCTTGAAAATGCCCTTTGGCCATGCGCACCTGACCAGAAGACTGCACGGGTCACCTGGTCACAACTTTCTTACAGTGGTGGCAAATGTATATTTCTGTTTAAAGTGATTATTCCTGAATTTGCCTCTGAATTATGCTGCACTTACTGTAGTGCAGAAACCTGTGACCAGGTGGCCCATGCACCTGCCTGTTCTGTAGCATCAGCAGAACTAGTGTGCCACATAAACAGAGCAACCTGTGCACATGTGTGAGGCTTGCTGGAACACACATGCTGGGTTGCTTGCCTCTCTGCCTGCTTGCTCAGTTAGGGTCTCTGATGCATTATCAGAAAGTGTCAGGAGAGACGATGGACTGCCTGGGCCAGCAAGGAACAGGTTTCGTCACCACCATCGGGGTCCCATTTCAGGGAGTGCACAAGAGCAGGAGGCACAGGGGAAATGGCCAGAGCCAAGTCCCACTGCTCCAGCATCTGCTGCCTGAGCTGTTTCACAACCCTCCGACCCTCAGCCCTTCTAGCGCGCAGCAGATTCTAATAATCACAAGGCACAGCTTATTTCATCAGGACTAGAACAGGACCAGAGGATCCTTTATTCTACCTAATGGTAGAATGAATTCTGGGAACCCCTGTTTTCCCCCTTTCCCTTGTATTATATGTACAGGCAGTCCCTGAATTGCAAACGTCTGAATTATGAACAACCCACACTTACGAACTGACATAAAGCCTATTAATTTTTAAAAATTACTGCAGAAAATCATTATCATCATCATCACCATCACAGAGAGAGAGAGGAATCTAAAGGGGAGAGAGGCAGGACCTACAAAGCAGATGTCCGTGCCCCATCTATCCAGAGAGGGAAATCTCCCCAGCATTTCCTTGTTGCAAACAGGAGGCACTGGTGAGTTGTGGGGGGCGGGGCAGTGGCAAGCTATATTTGCAGTTTTTCCGCTTTCATGGGTGTCCTACATTCTTAACCCTGCAAATGTGGACGGCTGACTATATGTCATCCATCTTGCATACAAGTTCAACTTAAAACCAGATGTCCATTTTCTCAGGAATGGAACTGGTTCATAACCCGGAGATTGACTGTATATCCCATCTTGTTTCTTCCAAGGAAGCTCATGCAATCCTCCTCTCCATTTTATCTTCACAACCCTGTGAGGTAAATGAGGCTGGAAGTTAGTGATTGGCCCAAAGTCTGCTAGTGAGTTTTATGGCCAGGGGACTAGAAGTCATATCCCCCAAGTCCCACTCCAACACCACTACACTACACCACACTGGCGCAATGTTTGGCGTGGTGGACCAGGTTCTTTCTCAGCTCTCCCTGATCAGGAGAACATTGCAGCCTTTCCCCTGCTTTGCAGCAAGAGCTTCCCCTTCTGCCCCTGAGAACAGCAATGCAGGGGACCCCCTGCCTCCCGCCCACTCATGAATCAAGTCACAGCTGCTCTGCAGCAGAATCCACGTGCACCCCCAGGAACCATGACATCTCAGCAATGGGGGAAATTAGAACAACATGTCACTGAAGAGCTAGAAAGATTGATTTCATTATGAAGCTGTTGAATGTCATCTCACTTACTCTATTATTGCCACCGTTTGTTTAAAAGGTTTGTATCTTACACTTACATAGCAGGCTGATGGTTTTCCATTATCTCTTAACCAGCTATTTATATATCTCCATAGTTTCTGAAAAACCTCAACAAATTTATCATAAGGCGGGGGCCTGTGCACCATATGGTGTTCATTCAGAGATAATGAAATACCTGCTAAAGCATATAATAGCTCTCCTTTGTCTGTGAATGCTCAGCCTCTTTGTTATTCATGGGTCTACTCTGCAATATTTCCTAAGCCAATGCACTCAGAATGGCTGCTCACAGCACATTTTGCCAAAAGATGCTGTAGGCTATATTTAGATATAATTAAGCCATCGATGTGTATGTTTGCAAATCCAAAATATAGTGATCACGTTTTTTGAAAAAAATGGTTCTTTCTGTGAAAGAAAACTTGCTATCTCTACTTAGATACTTGGCTTTGTAGATCTTTCCAGCAGTGGAGGGAGGTTAGACCAGAGGATTGAAAATGGCTCTGGTTTATCTCACCAAAGCACCTTTCAAATACCCTTTTCATAATTTCCCACATCAGAGACTTGCCTTGATCCCCTCACCCCTGCTCCAATTGGTCCTTTTGGGAAAGGGGAAACTGCCTAAACCTGTTTTACCTATGTTGCTGTGATGGTATTGTCATTTCATATTACCTAAATTAAACTTGTGTATCCATTCGCTTAACAGAAATATGAATGGGCATGAAATGCATTCAGTAGACATATTAATGCAAACATCCTTAATTCACACATTTGAATCAATATATGAACAAAAACACTGCTGTTACACGTATGGGCATGTTGGTACTGCCCATATGTGTATCAACATTATGGGGAGCCCTGTAAATAGTTAATTCATGAAGCACGTAAGCTTCCCGTATCATTCACCTACTTCATATATAGTAAGTGCTTCTATATTCTTGATATGTCAGCATGTGAAAAAGACTGTTTGCCAACTTTGATTTTTTTTAAAGAAATTTTCTGAGCATGCATAATGTCATGTTTTAATCTTGCGTTAATCATAGCACTATCATAAGTGCAGGGAAAAAATAGAGCTTGCTTCTTCTGCCCTGCTGCTCAGTATGTTTACATGCAAATAAATATTCATTGGTTGTAGAAGGTATTGTTTAAAAATAAGATAAATGTACAATGCACATGTTATGTGCAAGTCTGGCTGGCTACCACCACAATAAAATGTCTTTAAAAATAAAGGTTACTGCTAGAGTTAATTAAGTTACTTGGTTAAATGGCTATCCCCATCACCTGCTGCTCTTTGGCTGCTGAGGGGCGGGGGGTGCTGCCAGGTCCTGAATTTTGGCCCCCAAATGTAGCCCTGCCCCCCAACCCCATCCAAATTTGGATAACTATCTAATGAACTCTAGTATGTTCGTTTTTCAAATCGAGACCGATTAAAAGTTCCTGAAGAGTCTGCATGACTAACATATCTAAACTTCAGGGCATTTCATTCATTTCCTGGGGCTTTGTTAGTTGTTTAATCAGTTGCAGTAAGGTTTTATCCTGTTTTAAATTATTGGAATTTTGTGTGTGCATTGTTTGTGATGTGGTTTTAAATTTTGAATGGCAACTTTTTCCCTGCAATGTGTTTATAATGTGGTGTATTTTAATGGATTGTTGTAAACTGCCCAGAGAACTTTGGCTATTAGGCAGTATAGAAGTTTTTAAAATGTTAGAAATAAATAGATAATAACAATAACAATAACAACAGTAATAGACTCAGCATGCTGGTTGGGTGAACCCTTTACTTTCTGGGGACACACAAATATCTGACATGCAAAATTCATGCCAGCACAATTTGTCACTTAACCCTTTAGTTACTGAGTTACTGGGTGTTTTTCCAACCAATCAGCAGAAAAAAATTGATTTGGAAAGTGAAGAAAGATCTGCTTCAGTTCATATCTACCTCTCGTTCAATGCTTCTTTTGCACTCATGGCTTCACTCCCTTTCTGGTTTTAGCTGCTCAGCTATGACCATCTCTTTCTAATAGTGGATTTTTTTTCCATTGCTTGGTCAGTAGAAGTTTACTGTAGACCTGGATGCTAGTGAGGAGCTGTGGAATGGGAATCCAAGGAGGAACAGGCCAGGGGGGAATGTTACAATCCAGGTTGCCTCTTCCACGATTCCTGCTCACACGCCAGCTACACACCAGTGTTAGTGGCACCTCGCCATCTGTAGGAATCCAGATCTCAGCAGTGGAACATGTGAGAACAGTCAGTCAAACAACAGAACAGAACATATGGCATGTGGCACTATGATGCAGAGCGCAATGCTATACTAAATACCCAAGATCCAGTTTGCTGATGCGCCAGCACAACAGTCCATAAATACAGCAAGACCTTGGAATAATGGAGACCTTCCATCTGAAAGTGGATGGATGAATTCATGACTTGAGAAGAGCAAATTGTAATTTCTGCTGGTTTAAATGCACCCGGCACTAGCTGAAATATGGGCAGTTCATATCATATCTAATTTAAGCAAGCCCCAGAAAACTCCTGATTTCCAATCCAGCACAATTAGCCTGAAAGGAACTTGATACATTAACCCCAAGACTCCCATTAATTTCCATTTTTAAAGTTTATGATAATAATTCTTGAGTTTAATATAGCACTAAATTCACTCTACAAAGGATCGTTTTATATTCTTTCGTAGGAGGAACAGACTTGAGAAAATTAAATATGGTTCTGCTAAAATGACTTTATGATAATATGTGACAGTGAAAGATTTGAGTGTATTACCCGGACAGCTGCTTCACAAACAAAGCATTGCCAAGGTGGTTTCAATGACACTCCAAATATTTAACAAGTGACTTGGGTGGTTTCTTTGCAAGATTGCTCTCCAACTCACTAAGTGTGTGCGTATCTACAAAATCAGCTGAGACTAAACACGAGTACTGTTTCCAAGCACTTTGGTTAGGACAGTAAATTTGGAGTGGTAAGAAGTGCTTTAAGGAATACTGAGGAAGCTCACAGGAATTTAGAGAAATGGAAATCAGAACTGGCTATAGTTATACTATACCAACAGACTTCAGAGTTTAGGAATGGTCATTTCACAGCAGTGAGACCAGGCTAGCCTGAGGCATTTTTCTGCCTGAGATGAAGAGTAAGATAGCTATCCCTCACATTCCATGTATACATGTTAGCTGGGCTAGCAGCTGGAAGTTTTCCCACACTGAAGATGGGATGCCATGCCATGCCATGCCCTCTCACACCGGAGGACAACAGGACAGGTTGGGGGATGCAAAACAGGCTGCATGGCACACAGCACTCTGCTCAAACAGCTTGCTGCCCCATCCAAAATTTGCCAGCTAAGGTGGCCCGCTCACATTGCCTAAAGACCATGAGTGCAAATCAGAGGAGAATTCCAGTGACCAAGATAAAGCAGAATCGCTTACAAGCTACTGGCTACTTTGTATAATGTTAAACGTAGTGGGCCATGGTGAGCCAGTGTGCTTAGTGGTTAGGAGAGCTGTACTGGGACGCAGGAGATCTGGGTTCTAGTCCTGCTTGGCCATGAAGCTCACCAGGCCACTTTAGACAAGTCACAGAGACCCCCACAGGGTGGCTTCTGCAAGGAAAAAAGAGAGAGGTTCTTGGGTTCCTTGCAAGAGGAAGAGGATGAAGTGTGAATCAATGCAATAATAACAAATCCCTATTGGGCATTAATAATTACTACTTACCATTTAGCTTATTTGGACAATACAACTCACAACTACAAGTTTGCTGGGCTTCACTATGCCTCTTTTGAGTTGTAGCTCTCCAGTTCTCCATTTGAACTTGCTATTGTATTGTAAGCTGATTGGCAAATGTCCATCAAACAACAACATCAAGATGCATCAAGATGTACATTCACAGAATGCCATAAACAGTGCAGAGTTGACAGGAGATTGTGCATGTTGCTTGGTCAGTAGATTAGCAACGGATGCTACAGGCGTGCTCAAAGAAATTTCATATATGGCCAGTTAATATGTATAGCCTCCAAGTACAAGTTGTTCATTGCCCAACCAATGAATATACTACCCAACTAATATTGCCCACCTCAACACGTTCTAGAGTGCCATTTTCTTCATAGAAAGGTAGTGTACAATAAAATAAAAAACCAACATTGACTGGGCAATATGTAATGTTTTCCAATGTTAATATTGTCCCATGGCCTCATTATGTTTATATGCAGTCTCCACTGAAATCACTATTGTTATTAAATACCGCACGTGACCTACATTATTTGGTTAGGCCGCATTTGAAGTGCTGCATCTAGTTCTGGACATCACAGTTGAAGATGCAGACAAGTTGTAAAGGGTTCAGAGGAGGGCAAGAAAGATACTCCAGGGACTGGAAACAAAACACTGTAAGAGTTTGAGAGAATAAGGCATGTTTGGCCATGAGAAGACTGAGGAGCAGCGTGATTGCTCTCTACAAGTACTTGAAAGGATGTCACAAAGAGGAAGGCCAGGATCATTTCTTGATTATCCCAGAGTGCAGGACACAGAATAACAGGCTCAAGTCACAGGAAGCCAGATTCTGGCTGAACATCAGGAAGAGGTTCCTGTTAGAGGAATGTAACAATAGAACCAATTATTTAGTGAGGTTGTGGACTCTCCCACACGGGAGGCATTCAAGATGCAGCTGTATACCCTTCTGAGAGGGATGGTTTAACTTGGGAGTCCTTCAGTGAGGAGGTTGGGCCCGATGACTTTTTTGACCCCTTCCAAATCTACTATTCTATTTCCTCATCCATCTGGACCAACATTGCAAAATTGGCTGAAAACTGGATCCAAAGATGTCCTTCCACATCTGAAGGGTACCTTGCTTTCAAGAGGCATTCCCTGATCCGGTGCCTTCCAGATATGCTAGGCTGTGATTTCCAATGTTCCCAGCCCACTGCCAATGAAAGGTGCCAAGTTGGGGAAAACGGCAACACAATATTGCACAAGGTAGAAAAAAACAATCCAAAGTTATTCTGCTTACACAGCTTTTACCAGAATCACCGCCATAGGCGTTTTGTACAGTATGCTTACACAAACTCTTGTGCAACCTCTTGCACAAGGGTTGATGAAACAGCATTAGCACCTATTTTATTTCTACTCACTGTTTTTTGGATCCCATGCATTGTTCATTTATTGTTCTTGCAAAGCTTATCCAACTGTGAGGAAAGTTTGATTTAAATGCTTTTAAATCTCCCATTCTGTTTATATTGTTCTAAGCCTTCAAGGTAGGTGCAACACCTTAAAAATCACAATGTTTGAGTTTGGCTTAGACCAAGAAAATCACAGCTCTGTTGCTACATGTATGTCTCAGCAGGTCCTTTCACCCCTGCTGCCACTTTTGCTTTTGGAAGCTACCAAGAGATTGGAATTGACAGAACTCCTGCTCTCTGAAGCACAAAAAGCAGCAATCTCATCCCTTTCTTTATTCCTGAAACTCCAAAGTGCAGACACAGCCCAAGCAGGAAGGACAGTGGAGTGGCATGATATGCTTTCAGGGGTTGTTTGACAGGAACTGAAGATGAGGACTACGCTCACAAAGTTTCTTCTTAAGCATCACTTGTAATATTTTGATAATCTATTAAGACCACATGCTAATGCAGACATTGGAAGAGAGTTCCCACTGGCAAGATCCTGCTCAGCATTGCCACACTGCTGTGAAGATAACAGACAAGAAGAAAAGCTAGATGTTCCTTGCAATGATGCTGGCAGTTTGCTCTCCCTTCTAATGATGGTATCTTAATCCTTTCTAATTCAGTCTCCCTAGATGAGTTGCATCTTTCAGGCAGTCTAGCAGGATCCTTTGGGCTCTCCTAATAGCAGAGTGTCTCACTGTAGGTGCCAAAAACATCTATCACCAGAGGTTTCTGGCTCACTTGGCCTAAAGAAGGGGTGCATCCCACTGGTTTCAATGAGAGGTGCTTTTATATGAGCAATAAGCAACAAAATGTTCCTTATACACAGTTTTAAAAATTTGGGACACAATAGATTTAAACGCAATCGGTATGACGACGACAGTTTTCTGCCCCATATTAATGTGGGCAAATCATGTAATAGGTTATGCTGTATTTTAGTCTAAGTTCCTTCTCATAAGTTGCCATGTTTATACACTCATCACCTCCAGGGAAAAACTTTGGAAGAAACAGACACAGAGACAGAAATCCTGGTCTGCACCCTCCACCACAACAAATCCCAGCCTTGTGCAAAGACACTGGGAAAACTGTTATACTAGCTAACCTGGACCTAATTATACTAACCAAGGCAGAAGGAAGATCCCAGTTATGACAGACCTCCCTCCATTCTGAGGAAGAACTTGTCAATGTTGAAGATGATAGAAAAGTTTCTCCTAATAGTATTTCAGCATGACATGGTTCTCAGCTTTTCAGTACAATGCATTTACGAATTACAATGTCAGTGCAATAGACTGACATTAATTTACACACACACACCATGGTTAATACTTCTTTAATATAAATAACAAGGTGCTCCTTAAACCAAGTTCTGTTTTTGAAATGTTATGAGTGAACTATTTTTAGTAGATTGTCAGCAATGCCCTCTTGTGGTTAAGGGTTCTGCTCAACCTTGTTCAACAACGGTTCTGTTAAAAGCAGATCTACTGTACAAATAGTGCCTCGCAGACTATTTTCCTTTACCGGATAGCTAGATACATTGGCTAGAGTAAGACAGTTGCCTGCAGAAGCTCAAGCCAATATAAATTTGATCATCTTTACCATGTCAGAGGATTCTATGTCGCTTATACAACCAGCAGCTTAACCTACTCTTCTAAACTGTACTATCATGATTTTTTTAAAGGAACACAAATGTGACAGGATTTATTTATTGTCTTATGTAGTACTGCATTTATAGGGTGCACTTTTTCCTCCAATGATGACATGTCAGTACAAGATGCATTATATTAAACACAATAACTGCTCTTATTAAAATCATCAGAGTATTCCCTCCACATTCAGTCCCCAATATCCCCAGTTAAAAGGATCAAGTAATGCCACCAATCAGAGTAGACAATATTGAGTTCAATATTGGACAAATAGGTCTTCTACTCTTGGTTTCACTTCATAGTTTTGCATTTCTGTGCTAGAAGATACAACAGATGGTCTGCTTGATCATCTTTATTATTCTGTGGCTTTGCACCAAACCTAATGGATTGGATCCAGGATTAGTCATATTTAAAGCAGATCCATTGAAATCAAGGTATTTATTCAAAATATGACTAAACCTATTCCAACCCAGCAATTACCTTTGGAATTGATATGCCTATAATATGAACATACCCTTACACTTGCCCCTTTAAACACTTAATTTAGATTGCATCTACTTATTCCATTCCCAAATGGGTATTTGGAAGGAAAAAAGTTTAAATTCTTCTTTACATTCCATATATTTAGACATTTCACAGATTTCTTTGATAAGCAGTGATACTTTGCTGAACTCTTTCCATCTACATTACACTCAAGCATCATACAGTGTAAGTTTTTGTGCATTCAGGGTGCAACTAGGTCTGATGGTGGGAGGTGTGTGGATTGGACCCTGCACATATTTAAGCTTTAGAATTCACTAAAACACCATGCAGTGATGTCCACCAGTTTGGACGACTAAAATAGGACTAAAATTTCATGGAGGTTAAGGCTTTTAATGTCTCCTCGTCATGATGGCGACATGCTAGCTCCAGTAACAGCAACAGCATGCCTCAGTTTCTTAATTGCTGGAAAACATAGTCAGGAAGGTGCCATTAGACTCATATATTACTTGCAGGTTTCTCACAAGCAGCTGGTTGGACACCTTGAGAACAGAAAACTGGACCACATAGGCTTTGGTCTGATACAGCAGGGCTCTTCTTTTACTCTTACAACTCACCAATTTAAAAAAACTGGAATAGCAGCCATGGTTGGAATTATTTGAACTGGGGCTGCAGCCCGAGGGGAGAATTGGCCCTTTCCCCATTAAAACTTTCCTGCTGCTACATCCCTACTGGGAGGAGACATACAAGAAAGTATACCTGCAGCATACAATAACTCTCAAAGCCTTAGACATCTATGCCAAGATTTTACTGAGAACCAAGTGCTGACATTTTCCATGCTAGTTTCTTCCAAATAACTATCTTGCCTTTGGGAATATGACATTGTATTTCAGTACCACTTGTTTCCTGTACCACATTCAGTGAATGTTTGTGCAAATGCGCAACCAAATTTTACCCATGCAGCAATGCTTGCTAGGCATTTATTAAAACATGCCTTCGAGAGAGATAGACATTCAAAGCGGTACAGGTGTCAAGTAAGACTACAGTTAGAAAACCTTCATGAAGCGGTTTTGGATTATGGCTTCAGCATGCTCCATAAGGGCATTCACATCAGCAGCACAGACTTCATACTGCTGTCCCTCATTCTTTTTCAGTGCCTCTAATAGGCCCCTATGGACTGGAGGCAAAGGGTTATAAGAGTTTAACAAGTGAAGCTGACTTAATGGAGACTGTTTTATCTCTCCAGTCTTCAATGCCTGCAGGACAGCAGGTGCAAACTTGGAATAATGAGCAGTAGAAGAAATGATAACTGGGCAAGTTTTATCTTGCAGGCGATCTGCAACCACTTTTGCAACGGCTGTGTGTGTGTCCAAAATGTACCCGGTGGTACTGAACACAGAATGAATGGCACCCAAGCATTCCTCCTCAGAGCACCAATCAGCCAACAAGTCCTGCTGAAGCTTCTCAAGGAGATCCTTCTGCAACTGGAAGTAGTGCTGATTTTCCAGACAGCTAAATAGTTGGGCCACCAGCTGCCCATCTCCATTTCCAATCAGGTGCAAATGTCGCTCGAGGTTAGAAGCCTTCAAAATGTCTACTGCAGGTGACAAACTTGGCATTAATTGCCTTCCCTTCAAACTGTACAGCCCGGTTTTTATAAATTCAGTGAGGACATTGTTTTGATTGGAGGCACAGATACATTTTCGTATTGGGATTCCCATGGTTTTTGCATACACAGCTGCCAAGATGTTGCCAAAGTTTCCTGTCGGGATGCACACATCCACGGGGCTCCCAAAAGAAATGATATCTTGTTCAACAAGGTTCAGGTAGGCAGAAGCATGATAAACAACCTGGGGAAGCAAGCGTGCCCAGTTTATAGAGTTTGCTGCACTTAAAACTGTTCCATATTCCGTCATGAGAAAGCCACTATAATCTGAACTGGTAAATATTTGTTTGATGGCTGACTGGCAAAAATCAAAATCAGACTGAACACCTATTGCTTTTGTATTTGCTTCTTGGCAGCCAATCATCTGTGATTTTTGTATCTGGCTAACTCCATCCTGAGGAAAGAAGGTGATCACAGCAATTCTTTGTTTATCAGTCTCCTTAAGCCGACTAAAACCATCTAGGACTGCACTTCCTGTATCACCAGAAGTAGCTACCAAGACCAAATAATTGCAGCTCTTGGGAATGCAGTACGCAAACAAATGAGGCATCAGCTGCAATGCCAAATCCTTAAATGAAGCTGTTGGTCCGTGAAACAGCTCGAGAAGGAACTGGTTGCCTGTCAAATGCCTAACAGGAGCAACTTTAGAACATGCAAAATTTTGCCCATATGCATTCTCAACCATTTCCCACAATTCCGGAGCAGGAATGTCATGAGGATGTATGCACCTTTCCAATATAACCTGAGCTCTCTCAGCATAGGTGGCTCCTAATAAATTCTGCCATTCTCCAGTAGTGAATTTTGGGAGTCCCATCTCAGGAACAAAAAGTCCACCATCAGGTGCCAGGCCCTCAACAACAACATCACTGAAATATTTAATAGAGTTATTTTGCTGGGCTTTCTTATTGCTCCTTGGATCCCTGGTTGAAACAAAGCCTTTCAATTCCGAGTCTTGGTACCACTTCACTGCACAAAGCACTTTGTCTGCCACAGCCTCTGCTGTAATCCCAGCTTCACAAATGACACGGACATCATGCCACTTTTTATAAAACTGCTTCCTAAACTGGAGTATCTCTCTCAATGAGGTTCCAGTATGCTGCCCCACAATACGATCCACTTTCATCAACTGCAAGCGATCCATTATGCTTTGTGTAGGTACATCCAGATAGACTACAATTCCATTTTTTTTCACATGCTTCATGCCGGCGACACTCATTGGATTTGATCCGGAAAGGGAAATGACACTTCCAGATGCTGAGAGATTTAACAGGGCCCTTCCTTCCTCTTCTAAAAATTGCTCATTACCAACTTCCTTCAATTTTTCGGCCACACTCATACGCCAGGTTGTTTCAAGGACATCATCATCCACATCTATGAAACAAGAGCCCAGCTTCTGGCCTAGTATTTTTCCTACTGCTGTTTTTCCCGCACCAGGTGGTCCCATCAGGACAATATTCTTGTCCCCAACAAGGGAGCGCATTGACGTCCATGGACTCCATGCAAGTGTAAAGTTTCTTGTAAAAAATAAATATGCACCAGAAATTGTAGTACGACTCAGTAGCTTTAGATGCCGATTCCAAACCACATGAAACATCTTTCTTTTCATGTCGGTTTCACAAGAAATGGAAATGCTTTAAAGGAGAGGAGGAAAAAACACAGTTAACCACAGAAAAATATCTTCAACTGTAGCCCAGACTTTCCCAGCATGGTGCTCTCCAGATGTGTAGAACTACAACATCTGGAGGGCACCACGTTGGGGGAAGCTTCATCAGCCATTTGACATTTAAAAAAATTACCAGAACAAAGCCATTTCCAACTGCTCCTTCTCTATCACAGAGCAGCATGTTCTTAACAAGACTGCTCACCCTTGTGATATCCAGGCATATTAGATCATTTTCAATGACAAATGCAAGGTCAGAAATTACGTGGATTTCACCTTGCCTGAAATCTGCATTGAAGGTAAACTTTCACCTTTAAATTGTACAATTTCTAGTCTAAATTGCACAAAAAACAGACTAAAAAATTAGTCTGTCTTTTCTTATATAAAATCCTTACACTGTTCATTTTCTCTGTGTGGCATAGCTTAACCGTTGCCTTGGCTAACAGTCACAAGCAGAACAGCACAGAACCAGCTTTGAAACGGCAAAGCTATGATGAATACTCAGTAACAGCACTGACTCTAGGCAGATAATGTTCTCAGAATCAATACAAAATTCTCAACGGCCTCTAAAACAAGCTCTCCAAGCCAATTGCTAGAACCACAATATATGGCATTGTTTACATACCATAATATTCTCACCCTTCAGGGAAACCCTGCAAGGAATATTCTTGGCTTTTAACCTACTAATGCTAACCACTATAGGGCAGCCAACCCATGCAGAATGTTGTCACTGCTGATAATGAAGGCAGGGTTATATCTTTTCTTTAAAAACAAAAACCGAAGGAGGCAATGTGCCTTCCACTGGAGTGTCAAGTCCACCCCTCTTGTGATTTTGAGAAAGCTAGAAGGCATTTGCTATATTTGGATAAAATTATACCCTAATATCCAGATACATTCTACTTTTGGAATGAACAATCTAGCCAATGTTTATTTTTAAATTAACATGCAACTCAAAACTTACAGTTACAAGATTCATTGAATTCTAGTCAGCTCTCTTCTGAGTGGACATTACAAAAACAACGGGTATCTTTGAAGCTTTCTGATTCAGGAACCAACAGTTGGTTAGTTTTACACTTAATCTAGATTGAACAGAATAAAACAGAAAGATCTGAATGAGGTAAATGTCACGCAAGCCAACAGCTCCCCAGAGGGAATGGATGAACAAGCACAGGGCAAAGAAGCACCGATAAATGTACACACATTGCCAAGAATGGGCTCGCTTTGTTTGCTCAGGGAAATCAACAGCAGCATCAAACTGCAAAACAAACAGTGCATGCCATTAAGCAACTCTTAAAGGGCTAGAAAAAACCATGTGATTGCTTTGCCTTTTAAAAATTAAAACAATTTTAACCCAGAAACAATGTATTACTGCATTCTGGAAAGGCTAACTACTGAACTACAGTGGTGCTGCTAGGATTTTTTAGACCCTGAGCTAATTGTGACCCTTTAGACAACTTTGCATATGACTTTAATTGTGACACACACATTTCTCTTCTTTCTCTGCAACGTCTACTTCATGATGAACAACTGTTCCCACCTCTGTGATATTCTAGAGCAAACGCTAAGACAAAACCTGTTTGCCATCCCTGAGTACATCTAGCTTTGCATTTTAAACATAGTTAAATTAGGACTACTGAAATAAAAAGGAGTTTGTCTTTACTGCCCTGATGCTAAGCATGTTCACTTGGAGGTAACACCATTTAGCTGTGAAGATACACATCTGTAACCATGTACATGCCCAGCCAGTCAGCCCCCAAATATAGATAGATGCTTTTTAAAATCAGAATTCACCACTCAACTGCATAAGTCCTAATGAGCACCCCCCACCACCATATGCTAATGTGACCAGGTGTTCTCTTCTACAGAGGACAGTCCTCTAACTGAAGGGGTGCCAGAGGACTGCTATTTATCTTAAATGTGTCTTCCATCTGAAGGACTGAAGTCAGTGGCATCCAAGTTAAACCTCTATGATTTTAACAGGACATCTGTGCAACACATCTCAGATAAGGCTCAGTCCTCCAGGGCTTCCCCAGGTGCAGTCTCCCTGAAGGACCAAATAACTTGCCAGTTTTGGACCAGAGTTAAGTCTATTTCATGTTGGCTTAGACTCCACAAATCCAGAAAATCAGAGGCAAGGTCTGATAAATTTGGCAAAGAGCTTTGCAAAAGGTACAGCCCCAGATGTTTTCAATCTCATCTCTGAAAAGGCTTTACTAGCACAGCCAATGGTAAGGGATGCAGGGGGCTGAGGCTCAAACCATCTGCAAATTTACTTTCTGCCAACCCCTGCCATAACAGACACGCCCCATGATCAGCAATGATGCTGCAGCATGTCACAAACTGGGCTCCCATATAACAGACCCACACCCTTCCTTGTCTTTCAAAGATGCCCCATGTTGTCTTGGTCCTGGACCACTTTATGAAGCATTTGAGACTTCCTGCATTGCGAGAGGAATCCTCCTGTGATTTGGTACACCCTGGCAGGGTGGGTAAAATAGTGGGGGGACACCCTTCTGATACTATTCATCATCCTTATATTGGGTAAACAGAGGTTTTCATATGGCACTACAGTAAGACTTGTTTTTTTTTTAATGCATTTATATCCCACCTTTTTTCATCTAGCAAAGAACCCAAGGTACACACATGGTTCTCCTCCTCTTCCTCCCCTAAGTTATCCTCACAGCCACCCTGTGAAGCAAGTTAAGTAGAGAGGCAGTGACTGGCCAAAAGTCACCCTGTTAACTTTATGGTTGTGTTTAGGGCCTGAGATGTTTCATGGGGATAAAAGGGGCTGGGTAGTTTGCTGTCATACTTAAAAGGAAGTGATAAGAAGATAGCACTACTTTTTGACTTCCAATTTTATGTAAAATGATTTCTTTAAATGGTTTTAACTACTATTTCCCTTTTTATTGGTTTCTTTTTAACAATTTTATTATGCATTGTTTTGAATATATTGTTTCAATTTGATTGTTTTATCTGTTGTTGTGTAATGTAATGTAAGCTGCCAGGGGGTGTTATGGCTAAGGGGTACAGCATAATAGAGTAATAAATAAATAAATTTGCAACTTCTCAATATTTTCCAACCTAACAGAAGTGTACATTAAGGTTTGTAAGTTCAGTTGTTTCATCTCAAATACAGATGATATGTTTGGTAATTTTTTGGTGGGGAATATTCAATTTTGGTGGGGAATACTCAATTTCACACGCAATTTTGTACACTTTTGAGTTATCCCAAGGACTTCTTTATGTTGAATTATATGAAACAAGTGTCTATTGGAAACTTTTTCCCACTTTCTTAATGAAAGGTGTGGACCAAAAACTGAGGCTATATTTTGACTTACTAAACAGGCTTATTCTATATATTTTCCCCAGGCTCAATTTTAAGTGCTTTTTTTAACATGTAAAGCTCTAAATGGCTTTGGACCTGGTTACTTTAAGGGCTGCCTTTTCTCATATACTCCTACCCTCCCACTGAGATGTGGGAACAAGGTCCTTCTGAAAGGGCCATTCCTAAAAGAAGTTAAAGGATGGTGATTAGAAGGGCCTTCTTGGTGGCTGCCCCCCACCTTTGGAATGGGCTTCCTAGAGAGGTCCACCTGGTGCTGTCACTACTTTCATTTCAGCACTAGGTGAGAACTGTCTGCTTTTACATGTATTTTGATCAGTCGATTTTTCCAACTGATTATAAGAGCTCACTTGACTACCAGGTTTTTTTTTCCTTTCTTCCCCCACTCCCCCATTACTTGGAATTGTAATTTTGCACTGTTTTTTACTGTTGTTCGCCACTTAGACAGTCCTGTCAGGTTATTCAGTGGCCTATAATTTTAAAATAAATATTTAATTAAATTCTACTTATAGTTGAAATAAGAAAATGTGAGGCAGGAATTAGCTCCAACAACCCCAGCCTTGTAACCTTTACTTCTGAGTAACCTGCATAGGATTATAGTTTGTAGCAGCTGCAACTCCAATACCTCATTTCTTTAGCCAAAGGCAAAGTTTACCTCTAAGAGTTGCATTGACTTTAGTTCCCTTGCCTTCTGTCTCCTCCCTTCAGTGCTGTGTCTATCAGACACAAAGTCGGTGTCATTTACCACCTCTTTTGCTATACAGCATCTTCTGAGTTTCTGTCTCACAAAAGTGATTATTATTATGAATCTGGTGTAATATAAGCTTATTGCACAAAGTGCTACTAGTGCATAACCAGGCAGATGCTCAATAGTTCCATCATTCTCAGTTCTTTCCTGAAATGCATAGGAAAATAAGATCCAGGCTAAAATAAAAAATAAAAAAATCAAGACACCACCTCCAATTCTAAGATTTATATAATGCTTTTATTAGGCTAAGCACAGTATCACAAAAATGTGTGAGCTTTCATGATCTCCATCTCTCTTCATTAGACCAGTATTACCTCCCCATGGCCAAAATACAAGTTGATTGTGGGTACTGGAAGGGGAAAAATTAAAAACTGGCTTGAAGATATGATCACAATCTTGACAAAGAATGGAAGAAAGTCTGCACATTTTAATACTGCTCCATTTCAGCTAAACATCTAGGTTTTACCTGAATATTTTGGTAACATTTTGTAACCTTATTGACTAACAAATTTATCTAGGCATAAGTTTTGATGGATTATTGCCCACTTCATCACATGTTTCAAGAGTTATTGAGGTGTGAAGTGTAAACACTGAAGTCAGGAAGAAATGAAGTATAGAAATGACAGATGCACACATGTACAACCCCACTGAGTATGCTAGAGCTTATTTCTGTGCAGAACAGCAATTGCCTGTGCAATACTTTTACTCAAAAATTCTTTCTACTGTTAATCTGTAACTAGTTAATCAAGAAGCTAAATACTGCAGCAACAATATAAGAACTGCATTATTCCCTCACATGTTCTGACAACTGTTCTTCAATAGGCAAAGGAATGTTCAAAAAGTCCTAAAGTCACACTCCATTATATGTGAAAAATGTTGCATACAGATCACATGTTGTACATATTAATAACTGATGCTAACATTGTATCCCTCAAGTCTACCAAAGCTTATACCTCAATACATATTTTAGACCATGGCTGGCCCATGTCAGGCCAAGGGACCAAACCCTGTCCTCTTGGGGTCCCAATTCCAACTCCCAGTCTCCAGAGTTCCCACAGATTATCACATCCTAATCCCAATTTAAACCCCTTTGTTTCAAGCACAAGTCATTTGGTGATTTCCTGGCTTTTGTGCAGTTTCCCTCCGTTCTAAAAAGTAGGAAAGCCTCTCCTGGGTCCTCATTATTGGCAGGAAGTGCGTCAGGCTACACCATGCAAATCTTTGTGGCGTGTCTGCTGTTCCTTTTGTCTCTCCCCTGCCCTCTTTCCCATCAGCTTTACCCACCTCAGCAAACGAGATGAACGGCGTAGAACGCAGCCCCAGAAGTTTCCCTGAAACTGAGCTCGGCCCTTAGGGTGTAAGCGGTTCCTCACCCCCATTTTAAGTCAGGATGAGAGGAAAGATGGGAGTAGGAGTCCAGCAACCGGAATACAAGTTCCTCAGCCTTGTTTTAGGCTTGAAGGTACCAAATGGGTTGTTTTTGTTGCAACAGACCAACAAAACCACCCCTCTGAATCCTTCAAATACCGACGTGTTATAAAAGAGCCAGTGTGGTGTAGTGCTGAAGAGCATGGGACTGGACTCAGGCGATCTGGGTTCTAGTCCCCGCTCAGCCATGGAGCCAACTGGGTGACTTTGGGCCAGTCACAGACTCTCAGCCCAACCTACCTCACAGGGTTGTTGTTGTGGGGATAAGATGGAGGAGGAGAATGATGTAAGCTGCCTTGAGCCCTTTGTAGGAAAAAGGCAGGATATAAATCGCAAAATAAATAAATAAATAAATAAAGGGTCGCCTATCCCCCGCCCCCCCTCCAGATATGGGAAGCTCCTTACTGCTTCAAGACGGGAGTTCGTCCTCATGAATAGTTTAAAAAGATACCAGGCTTCCCGGACAAGTTCCAGGAAAAGCGTTCCGCTTCAAAGCACACATTAAGAAAATCCCACCTCACCATTACTGAGCGAGCCTACCTCTGAACCAAAAGCACAGGCACACATACTTCGGCGCGCATGCGCAAGTTCCCACGCCGTCCACGGAGCGACAAAATAGTTTGGTTGCTCGCTCTCTGATCCGCTAGCGTCATCCTCCCTCTACGCCTGCGCATAACTCCTACGTAGTCTCCCTCCCCTTCTATGCTTTCCTTTCTCCTTTCATTGTTTGGCAAGACTCCGGAAATGGCGTCACAAAGCTGCTCTCACGTTCCACAGATAAACGTTGCTAAGCACTTGTTTCCAGGAGTAACCAAACAGTGGTTATGTAGCTGCTCATTGTAAGCCGTAGACACGGCAAGGTTCGAATGAGATCGGAAAGGGACTTGGAGAGAAGAACAAGACGAGGAGAGGGACGGGGAAGGTGAGGAGAGCGGAAGCCAGGGAGGTGATAGGAACTCTCGGTTGGGGAGAAATGGCTGGCGGGGAAGACTCTGGATAGGGAACGAAGAGGGCCTCTGGGTGGGTATAGAGTGCAGGCATGAGACTAGGAGGCAAGCGGATTGTCCGAAATACCCTTACGCCCAAAGGTGAAGAGAATCCGACCGCTTCTTTGGAATTATTCCATTTATCTCCTTTTCCTCCAGTGAGCTGCGGCCGGTTCAGTGCACCTCTATTGTTCTTTCTCCAACTCTGCATTTCACCCTCACAATCCTGCAGAGCGAGAGTGAGGTGGTGCACGTCGAGACTTGCTTAAGCTTTGAGTTTTGTGACTCAGTGGGGATTTGAACTCGAGTTTCGGTAACTTCATACGCATAACCCCTGCACCACCCGAACTTGAACATAATGAAACTGCCTTATGTTGAGTTACTGCACTGGCTGATCTCTCCGAATTGCCTGTCCTGAAGGGCAGTGGCTCGCCAGTACAAAGCTGTGTTACCTGGGAAATTCTTTCAGCTGACCATTGATCCCGTTATTTGCATACAAATTACCCTTGAGTTAACAACTCATTCACATTTCTGGAAACTGTTCAGATGTTAACTTTTACATGTACTGCAACATTGCACTTCTGTACTAGGCGAGATGGTGTTGACCAGGGGAATGCAGACTTCAGGCTTACTGGATCTGCTTTGCTTTTTACTAGAACACTGTGATCCCACAACCAGAGCTGAGTGCAAAAGGCATATACATAGAATTTAAAAAGTCCTGAGACCAGGGCATTGTTCTGAGTACCAAAACTAAACAAAGCATGCAGTTGCTCCCAGACAAGTATCCGCCCTTAGTTAGACCCCACCCCATACTATTTCATTTCGGCAATATAATACAGTGGGAGTCATTTTGTTGCTGCTATTATTAAACAATCTGGAATCCAAAACCCTTGCTGATCTACTTCAAACCACCCAGTAGATCCCTGCCAACCTTTTGTCCATCCCTGATGAAGCCAAGCCAGCCCCAAGGCCATTGCTCCCTGAGTTGCCTTAAGTCTTACATAAATTTCTCAACCAGGTGCACAAGTATAGTAAGATTTTCTTACCACTTGGGAGGATGATACAGATGATCAGTTTACCAAGAGGTTATATATGCTTGGCATAGACCAATTTGTTCTTTGTAAAGGGTCATCTGTACAAACCCACAGAAGAGGGTGAGGATGATAATAAGTGACGTCAAGACAGAAAAGGGATTGGAGTGGCTGAGAAACAAGAAAGAGCAGCAGTCAAGAGCAAAGGATGAAAACATGAATGAAGCAAATGTAGGCTATAAATGAAGGAAAAGAAAATGGGCAGGATATGGAGTTGGGGGAGAAAACTAGAGCAAGGAGAGGCAGAATGTATTCTGCATGGGAAAATGTGATGGGTGGTTCACTTAATTGTCTGAGTAATGTAAACTAAATTATCTGCAGACCTTATCAGTGTGGAGATGGCAACACTATGCACCGAGGAGAGCATTTACAATCTTCTGCCTGAGATTGTAGAGAAGCCTTTCAAGGCACCTAGGTATGGGGGTAAGAACATTTGCCTTGAAAACAGTTCTGACAAAACTATGCACTTGTCAGTCAATTATGTATTTTTGCCTGTGGAATGTGTTAAGAATAATGCATATATTAAAAGAAAATTGATTTACAATCTCCTATCATATAATAGCCCTTGATATGAGCAACATTCAGGTCAACATTTTCTGGTCTTTGATGGAATGTAGACTGCTAATTTACAAAGCACTCAATAAATCATTTATCTGTAAAATTAGGGAGCATTTTAGTGCTCACTCTTTGGGAATCAGTTTTATGCACTGACAGAGATGAAGGTTGCCACCTTATATGTCCTTGCCTAGGAGTAAATCCCATAGAATTCAGAAGGATGTCTGAGTAAACTTCCATCTCCTGCTCTGGGGCAAGCATTGAACCCTGATACCCTGCAAACTTTGCAGCTGCCTCAGTATCCCAGCCCCTGATGCCCATCCTGACTGGAAAAGTACTATAATAAATGGGGAAAGGTAGGTAATAGATCAGAGAACCCATCTTTCCCACTAGGGACTTGCTTGAGAAACACCACTGCTTTCCCTTGATGCAGAAACCTATCATTGCTTTTGTGATAGCCATATACATTGCATCAGTCCTCTTATTTCATCTTAAACATACTAGCTTGTGTACCAACCTGCACTCTTACATTGAGAAAAGGAGCTTCACAGGCCTAGAAACAAAGGGTCAAGAATGAATGCACCCCCTGAAGATGAGCAATAACCATTGGAGTTTTTACTGGAAACAGAATTGAGTGACTGTGAAGTCCCTTGGGGGTTTGCAGGGTTCATTCTCCAAGGTCTGGAGAAAACAAACAAGACTAGTCATTAAATAAAAATGTACTCTCTTTAGGTTTTGTTTCTGCGTATTCTCCCTGTTTGGTGAGCATCTTTGCAGGGAACAAGGGATTAAAACAAAGACCTCAGGTATTTTCCATTCTGCAGGTGCACATTCTACTGATTCATACTGCCCATATGGTACGGTAGGTGCAGAAGATCCCAAGTTCAACCCTCAGCATCTCCTAGTAGTGCTAGGGAAGAATGCTGCCTATAATCTGGAGAGCCATTTCTGCCTATTGATACTGGGCTACATGGGCCCTGTGGCTTGACTTGGTACAAGGCAGCTTCCTTATGTCCCTAGGCTGGCTGATAGAGCCATGGAAGTGCTAGTCCAAGGAATGCTGAGGTATAGACTTATCCAACACATGTAAAAAATTAAGGAAGTAAAAAAGGTACTGAAAAGCAGAATATTACAAGATGGTACTCTGTCCTTATAAAATGTCTGATGTGGTGGTAATGCCTTCTTTGGGGATACAAGAATACCTTTCCCTGTTAAAGCAGTATCACAGATCTTTGAAGAGGGTCTTACAGAATGAAACAGGCATTTTATATAGGCATTTTACTGTTGAATACACTTCTATTTCTCAGTATTTCAAGGTTTTGCCTTTTGGGAGGGAGAGCTTCTTAGTTTTTGGTACTACCCTCCCCTTTTCTTCATCTCAATTTTTCAGGGAACACTTCACATTTTCACTCAATGCACTGGTGTGCCTGATACACAGTCTGGGAATCGCTGGAAAAGGCTAGAATGCGTGATTAAATACAACACTTCAGACAAAATCAGTGTGGCTATGTCTTTTTATTGCCAAACCACTAATGGCACAGTTATAAGATAGATGCATCATTTTTAATAACAGACAAATTGATACTAAAGTGTAATTTAACTGTCTCAGACGAATGCTATAACTTTTTTACACACATTAAAAAAACAAAGTCATTGTGAACAGAGGGAGAAAATTTGCTATGGATCAAATTCAATATTAAGTGATGAAATACACGATAAACTCTGTGATTACAACAAACACTACCAATGTCCTCTTTCTGCTCAGTTTTATTCCACTGCTAATTCAGATGTGAATAGATGTGCAGTATGAAACAATCCATGGGTACTATTGTTTTTGAACACACATGAGTTCAGCCATAATATTCACCTGAAAAACTTACACCCTTAACTGGATTTTTAGATCAAGGGACTTAGTGCTGCCTCACTGAGAAACTAGTAATTCCTGAAGCAATCATAACCAAACAGAAATGCTTGTTTCTGAATGGTACAGGTCAATGGAGCTCACATAAGGGAACTCCACTGCCACGACCCATTTCAGAAACAAATCTTTCCAGAATTTCTTTCAGAAGTGTTCACTGTGGTTGCACTCAGAGTGGGCCCTGCAAATGCTATGAAACTAGCAGCGGCACAGTGGTGGAGACCGTACCAGCAGTGAATTGGGGCACAGTGTTCAAGAGCACAATAACCTTGAGAGGTAAAAAGGGGGTACTTGCAACTTCTCTTTGACTTCAAATATTCTTTGCACATTTTCTCTTCACTAAAGATATGTATCGACACTTAAACCATATGTGAAGCATACAATACAGCAAAGTAAAGCACCATGGAAAACCATAGGACCACCAAAAGTCCAAGTGCCTTCTCCAAAGAACTTTCTTCAGAAACATTCAAAGGAACCAAAATTACCAAAGAGTACGTTCTTAGCAAAACAATATAACAATATTTGAAGGCATTTTTCAATTTTGTGTTTGCTTCTTTAATGTATGATGTTTATATGGTTTTTATCCTGATTTTGTTCATAGAACCCTGGGCAGCATATATAGAAATCTTTCCCTTTCTCCTCATCCTGTTCTCCTCATCCTATCTTACAGATACCCTGTAAGATATGATCACTAGCCCACAGTCACCTCTCTGGCTCCTTAGCCGAGTAAGTATTTGAATGCAGGTCTCTCTGGCTATGGTCTGCTTTTCTAACCACAATGTCACATGAGTTTGCAAGGGATGAGGATTCTAGACCCTGTAGAATTACTCTATGCCTACCATTAAAAACCATATCCTCATTGAAAATCCCCCCAAGTATGAAACAGTCTTCCCCTGTGAGATCCAGTGTGGCACCAACACTGTAATCATTTCAGGAGCAAGTACTTTCCCGGCATTTGGTAGCATACAAGCCATTTCGTTTCTTTTCAGGTCCTAGTAGTTTCATTGATAATTGGTTTTAACTTGTTCTTAAACTTTTTCAAATTTCTGAATGTTCAAGATTTTGTATTGTCTTTTATCATGCTGTAAACTGCCCAGAAACCTTTGGCTGTTGGGTGGTATAGAAATATAATCCATGAAATGAAATATTATCACAAGTTTGTGGATTTGGATGTCTAGTTTTTGCCCCTGCTCTGGCTGCACATCAAACAGAGAATGTTTTGCTTTCATTTATTGTGTTATGTCTGCGTTTTCTTAAGCAAGACTAAATAGGCCAATTCACAGCATGCTTTAGAAAGCTTACTTAGTTAATGGAGGTTTCAATGTATGTTTCTTTTTCACTCTTAAAATGGAAGTATTTGGTTACAAATGTACATACTGCTGCTGCCACTGCCACCCCCCAAAAAGGAAAAAAATTACAGAATACAGCCATTAGTTTTCACAAAAATGATCCCCATGAATTAGGGATGTGTGCCAAGTCCCATTTCACCACCTGAAATAACTTGGAAATAATAGCATTGTGACTCCATGAACCAGAAGCCTTCAGTATTCTGACTCCAGATGTTTCTGATCTTGAGCCATTTCTTCAAAATCATGAGCAGAACTAAAGGGCATTTAAAATGTTTATATAGGGGTGTGTGTGTGTGTTTAGTCCTTGTGATGGAGTACTTTCACACAGTTTTGATTCTCTCCAAAATGATGAGATCCTAACTTACCTTCTGGCTTTCAGAAAAGGTCTCATTCACAGCATGTCACCTTTCTGGAATTATGCATCACTTGTTACTTCTGCTGCTCCCAGTAATAACCTTTCTGATGTGTGGTGTCATAAGCAATCAGTGTTTGGTAGGACTAGAAAATCGAGGAAGAGCTGAGAAAATCAAGAGTTTAAAGGTGACTGTGGAAACATAGGCAAAGGTTTAGTAAGTCTGATGAGATCCTGTGGCATCTATTGAAGAAGAGAAACTTACAACTTTCATTTTGAGTTGGATGGTTTTTGGGATACATACAATATTGGAAATTTTGAAATTAGTTTCATTTTTATTTTAAAAATAAACAGGGAAAAAAGATCGTGACAGAAAGAAAATGATAGAACCAACAGTGCCCAAAAGAACAGATGTCCCACTTATGGGAATTCAATGTACAAAGAATTTCATAAGCTCAAATGCAGCTAATGTTATCATGGGAGTGGCTAAAAAACCTCTACCTATTTGTGTGGACAGGCGACAAGGAGACAAATTTCTCCTTGAAACTTCAGGACTCGTTCCAAGATACCTCAAGAAAAAGGTATGTTTATAAATACTCCCAATATAATGGAGTTTGCGAATATGCTGGAAAAATTCTATACTCCGAGTTTTCTATACTCCGAAAATCTAAAAGGTCTTGTCTCCAATTGTTGAATATTTGTTTCCAGTAATCTTTTTTTTAGTAAAAATGCAGTAGCCATGAGAATATTTTTGTATGGAATTTTGTATCAGATGCTAAACAATGCAGTCCCGTGCATGTTTCTGAGAGGTAAAACCTACTATGTTCAGAGGAACTTACTCCTAGAATTGTAGTCTTAGCTGTTTAATATCATAGCTGTGAAAATGTTATAGATAAGGAAACAATCCAGTCCTTCTCCAGATCTACTTCCATGCAAGCAAAAAGATTCCTATACTAGCAGTCCCCCTCCTCTGCATGTACTGCTGCCATCAGAAATGGACTGGATCATCCTGTATAGCCACATACCTGGGAGTTAGCGCTGTTAAATTTAGTGGTTCTGAGTAGACATATATAGGATTTCATGGTGAGAGTACAGTCTCTTGTCTGCACTTCCAGAGATTTTGGTTAGAGAATTTCTGTATACGTGAAACTGACTGAATAAATGTATGTAAAATATATGGCAACATCTTTGTGCAAATCTTCATTTAGACCAGGGTAGGCAACTTAAGGGCTTCCAGATGGTTTGGTTTAAATCTTCCAGCATTGTAGCACCTCAAATGTGCTAGGGAGGCCTCATGAAAATTGTGGGCCAAGTATCTGGAGGACCGCAAATTGTCCTCCCCTGATTTAGGCAGACCCGATGGATACTTCATAAGCAATGCTGTGGTTTTGAGAGGTGGTCTTACTAATATTACAAGAAACAGCTGCAAGAAAATGTTCTGGTGTGGAATACTCCTTTGCTTTCTTTCAGGATATGCTATTATGATCTCTCCGCTGCTGTCAGTCCACAGTCTGTGACAACTGAGCATGCTCAGTTTTTGTTGGTTTTTGAGGAACTGGCCCCTGCAAACCTTGGGTGTCCTGGGAGTTTTCCGATGCCTCTTCCTTGTGTGCATTTGGTCTTGAGTTGTCTGCAGAAGGAAAATATATTGGAGACACCTTCACTAGATGAAAGTTCCCTTTCTCTGTAAAATATGGGGGACATATTTCTATCCTTTTTATGAATATTTGCCCACTACACTTTTTTTCTAGGATTACGGTCTTACTCCAAAATATGTAACTAAACGTAATGAAGAAGCAAAGAGAGCTCAGGAGGAGTATGATGCCTATGTAAAGGAGACTCTCAGACAAAAAGCCATGAAACGGCTCACCGAGGAAGAGAGGGAAAATGTTCTTGAGGTACTTGGGTTGCCTTCTATCAGATAGTCTCATGAATAAAAAACACATTGTACACCTCTACAGGCAAGAAAACTGCACTGGGGATGGGCTGCTTTTCACTAGATGGAGCTGTAGAATAGTTATATGTAGGATTGAGTCAGTTATTAGATGCAACAGAAATTTCAGTAAGTGTTACAATGTCCATTTTATGAAGTAGATTCTGTGTCATGCTCATCATGACTTCATATTAGTGGGCTGCTATACAAGATAACTGAAATTAACAGCATATTGGCTGACTTTAAAGAAAATCTGTGGCCTATTTCTCTTTTTCCTAATATTAGAGAGAAGGGGAAATACTGTTGTGAGGACAATCCTATTCGTGTTTACTCTGAAGTAAATCTCACTTTGTTCAATGGGCCTTACAGGAAGAGATATGTATAGGACTGTGCTATTACACTTTAGTCCTATCCATGTGTACTCAGAAGTAAGCCATTCTGAGTTACTCTCAGATTAATGAGCACAGGATGGCATCCTTCCTGTATCTTCATCTAATGTTCTTTTCCTATACTCTATACAGGGTCTGAAGAAGAACTGGGAAGAAGTGCATCAGACTTTCCAAAACCTTTCAGTAGAAATAGATACAATACCCAAGAAGCTTCACAAAGAAAGGCTGGAAACACAGATGAAACAGTTGGAACATGACATTCAGACAATTGAGAAACACAAGGTTATTTATATTGCAAACAAATGAAGATGTCATTAGAAAAAAGCATTATGAGATAGGAAAAAAGTTTACTATCAGTAGGGAAGCAAGAATGCCTATATATCCAAATGTAGAAAAGTACTTACATTTTAACAAGTATCTAAGAATTTAACCATATGTTACATTTTTAAAGGTTTTTTAAAATATCTATTTTTTCAAATAAATATTATTTTTCCCCAAGTTGTTCAGTTAGCTATATTATTATAACCTTTAAATGTTTTGGTTGTTTTTATAAATGTAACATCATGTATGGTGATAATTCAACTAGATGTTTAAGTAGAAAGAGAATGGGAATGATTTGTGAGATAATAAAGAGTTGCTGACATTAACCTTAAAGCTTGAAGTCCCTTATATTTATGGATTGCTTCTAAATAATGGGTTATATCCAACATAATGCCAGCAGAGAAGTTAAAATAATTGATGTTCTGCTAGTGGTTGCCCAATTGCTTGCAGAACAAGGAACACTAACCTTTATCATTATGAGTTGTGGAAGACTTTGCAGAACAGCTTGTAGGAACAGCAGCTACCTGGACAATGGATGGGAATCACAGTCCAGGTTTGGGAAGGCTGCTGTGCAGTTATGGTGAAAGTACTTCTCAAGATGCTGAATACACCTCTTCATGCTACATTCAATTATAAATGGTGCAGTCAAACCAGACCTCCTGTTTTACATTAAGAGCATCAGAACATGCTTGGTTGGTGCAAGAGCATTGTTGGTGCTGGATCAAATGAAAGGCCCATCTGCCCAGTCCTGTATTCCTTCACTGGTCTAATAAACACTTAGGAGATGTTCGCAAGCACCTAAGCCTGCATGAGAAGTCCACAAGCAGGACATGAGCACAACTGGGGCACACTCCCGCTCATGTTCCCTAGCAAATAATATAGAGGCATTCAGCCTTTGTGCTTGGAGTGATACGTAGCTATTAGGACTGGTAGCCATTGGTAGCTTCTCCTTCATGAATTTACCCCATTTGAAGCCATTGTCACTATCCTGTCATAGCAATTTCCATCATTTAAATAGTGTGAAGAAGGACCTCCTTTTATCTGTCCTAAATCTCCCACCATTCAATTTCATTACATAATCATTGGATTTGTGTGGCAAGCCCAGACCTTGAACACAGCAGTGGAACAGGATGCTCTCCTCTCCTTGATGAACATAGAAGCATCAATCAAATCAACATATGGAGCAGACATATCTCTGTCCATTTAAAACAGATGTGTACTCTTTCATGAAGGTCATTGGTACTGCTGATTACAGGGGAAAAAGTTGCTATAATGAAAACCATTTGTGCTACAGACACAAGGAAAACATTCTTATTCAATTCTCTCTCCAGGAAGTTTGACAAAATACATTTCGAGAATCCTAAGAATGTTGCTCTATCTATATTTATATGTGAAAACTGCCAGCAATGGAAGCTGCGGTGTTTTCAAATTGGCTCATGTGCACTGTTAGTACAGCAAAAGCAACAAAGGTGAATAAACACGATTAAGATTTCATTAGAATTCTTCTTTTTATTAGCATGAAGAGAATACTAGGAACAAATTCCAATATGTTTTTATAAGGAAAATTGGTCACAGTTTGGCATATCTTGGCTCACATCAGTTACAAACACAAGAGCCTTCAATCCTTGGCCTATCACAGTTACCAATCCGCCAAGATTTCAGGTAAACTCTTTAAGCCCTGGACCCTAAGTTCCTTCAAATGTACAATGAATCCAGGTTCTTCTACATGGACTCTGTGACTGAAGCCTCATTCACACTGAGATGTAAACCCGTATCTGAGAACCAAGCTACACACTCCAGTTCAAAACCATTGATTAACATATCTGTTGTTTAAAATAGCATTCACAAACTTTTCTTTCATCTTTATTGGATGCTGTAACATCATTTTTAATAAGTTTTTGTCTAAGTCAGTTCATTGCTGGAAGTGTAATAATGTAAACAATTTTCTCACCCATAAGTTTTGGGAAAAACTTAATTTATGATCTTTAATAATTACTAATACACACATTCTTTTAAATAATTGACATATGGTTTGGTAGTTATGGTAAAGTTACTGTAACTGGATTTCCCACACCCTTTTAATAGCTAAAAGCCTGATATTACAACACTGGGAATATAAATATCCATCTTTCAAAACAGAATGGATGACCTAATTTTTCCCAACATATTAAGGGATGGTATTTAGGCTCTACTTAAATATTTAGGTGGTGGCAAATCTTTAGGCAAATTTCATTCTTAAATGAAACTGGTTACCTTCATCCATTCCAGTCTGGGTGCACCTTTAGTTTCGGGATGGAATTGGCCTAAGTCTCCCTGATGGATGATGATTTACCTGTTCTGGGCAGAGCTGCACTTGCTCTGAAGGAACACCTCCGCAGTTTAGTGGGGCTCCTAGACGCATTTTTGCCTTTGAAGGCCCAGATTACCTCAGGGCTGAGAGCACCTATTATCAGTTTCAATCAGTGCACCAACTACACCTGTTTCTGGGTAGGGATAGCCTAGCAGCTGTGGTTCATGCCCTGTTAGCCTTCCAGCTAGATGACTGTAAGGCACTTAATGTCAGGCTGCCCTTCCATCTGGTTTGGACACTGCTCCTAGTGCAAAATAAAGCAGCTAGTGCTCACTTTCACACTGCATCTGCATTCAAAGTCAGCACTGGCTGCCTATTAGCTATTGAGCCATACAAAGCCTAAGTTACAAAGTTACAAAGCCTAAACAACTTGGGGCCAAGGGAGCTATTAGACCACCTCCCTTCATACCTAATAGATCTTTAAGACCTTCAGGGAATTGCTGCTATACACAGCAAGACTAACACATCTATGGGTGCACAAGCCTCTCTTGAGTCCCTATTGAAGACTAGAGTCTCCTTCACTGCATGCACAAAATGTTATCCTGAGGTGCCTTCACTATCTGACAAAGTGGTATCTAGTAATTGTGTAATAGTTGGAGAGACTGTTGTTGTGAGGATAAGACTGAGAGGAGGAAGAGGCTTATGCAAGCCACCTTGAGTTCCATGAAGGAAGAAAGGTGGGATATAAACAGAATAAATAGACAAACAGCTATTAGTTTGTTTGACTTACATCCCATTGATTTCAGTGGGAAGACATCTGTCACAACACATCTGAAGGGTGCCAGGTTGAGGGAGATAGGTTAGAGTGTGAGAATGGGCATGGGAAGAGCCAGGTTGAAATTTGCGTGGTGTAGTGTTTCAGCAAGGGACTGGGACTCAGCCGACTAGATCCACGCAGCTCACTGGATACCTTTGGGCCAGTCACTGACTCGCAACCTAACCTACCCCACAGGGTTGTTGTGAGGTTAAAACAGAGAGGAGGGGCCCATGTACACAACCTTGGGCTGCTTGGAGGAAAAATAAATGTAGTAAATGCAATCCCTTCCCAGCCCTTTAGCTCAGGCCATAACCTCGAACCAATGAGTCACTTCACAGGACTGTTCAGAAAGTAACATACGGGGTGCAAAGCGAGCAGGCGGAGAGAGGGATACGGGTGCCACCAAGGCGAACTCCGGCTCTTCGTAAGCCTTGTCCAAGTGTGGGTGTGAGAGAGGCGGAGAAATCGTTTGCAAGAGATAGTCCTCTTCTGCAGCTCCAACGCCGGAGCCAAGCCGGATCTGCAAAGCTCAGCGGAGCCGCGCGTGCCGAGAGGAGCGCAAGCGAGCAGCCACGTCGGTGCGCGGCGCCTTCCCTTGCCTCGGCCTCCTGCGGCGGCTCCTTCTACTTGCCGCCAGCGCGACCGAGGAGGAGGGAGGAGGCGCCGCCTCCTCTTTTCCGGCTGCCGCCTCCTCTTCTTCTCCTCGGCTGTCGAGGTTTTGCATGAAGCCCGTCTACCACATCCGATCGGAGCGGGGGGGAAGCGAAAAGCAAAGAAAAGAAGGCCGGGCTTAGACATCCACGTTTTCCCTCCACTTCTCTCGGCTTCCTCTCAAGGCTCCGGCCAGCCTTCTTCGGAAGATGTCCGGGCTAAACAGCAAGGCGAGCGCAGCGGAGGCACCGGCACGCAGCGGCCGAGGGGTCGTGGTAAATCATGCAAAATTCCCCCTTCTGTCCCATAGTCAGCAGCTCTTGTCGGGGCGCTTCAAAGCCCTGCTCCTTTCCCAACGCCTTGTGGAGCTGAGGCATTCCGCCCAGCTCCGCTGAGTTCACCGAGCCTCTTCCTCCGTGTATCTAAATAACGCTCCCCCCCCCCCCGCTTTTATTAGTAGTTCAGGGCACAATCCTGTACAGGCTTGCACAGGAGAAAAAGTTCTTCAACTCCTGGCAGCTGTACCTAGCTGTGCGTAGCTGAGTGAGCTAAGCTGGGAGTTACAGGGCTTCTTCCCCCACCCTGCCCAATCCTGCATAGGTTTGCGCCCTTAGACTACGAAGCTGCCCCCCCCCCTTCTTTTGGGGATTGTTACAGCAACAGAAAAAGCATCAAAAGTTTGCCCGGGATGGAAACAGGTTAGGCTGCAATTCTATGTGTATTTACCCGGGAGCTTACTTCTGAGTCGACATACCTCGAGTTGTTCTGTTAAGGTGCAATCTTGTGCTTATTTAGACAGGGAAAAAATGCGTACAAACTCATGGAGCTCAAGGAAGTGTTAAGATACAGCGATTTTATGCCTCCCCCCCCCCTTGGGAGTGAGTTCCATTGCGCTGTCTGGTGCTTACTTTTGAGCAAGCATGCACAGATTCTCAGTTGTATGAGCATGTATTTCTCTGAAGTGGGATAGTGTGATGCACCCTTGGATGTCTTGGAATGCACCCTTAATGGAGGTCAGTTGCCCCTTTACAATATATATATATTCTCTGTCTGTCTCCCCTGGTCACCTTGCTCTCTCTGGATAGGGGCTTAGTAGGGATTCCAATACATGTATTCCAATAGTGCTTTCATCCACTGTTTTATTCCAGGAGTGTTTTCCCAACCCTGGGAATTACCTTGGGTCTCATCTCCTTTTAGGCTTCCTCCCTCCCCTCAGTCTCATGTAGATAGGGGCTTTCCACTAGCAGCAGCATTTATTTTATTTCTATACTGCCCAGTAGCCAAAGCTCTCAAGGTGATGTATGACGATTCATAAAATGTAATAAAATACAGTATAAAATATAAATAACAGTAAAAACACCATAAAAACCTCACTACAGAGATTTAAAAGGGAATTTTACACAACCAAGAAAGGTTACTACAACTCAGCCTGTAAAACCAGGTGACTCCATCCACCATTCCCCATGTGCTGCAAAATGCTTTAACACAGAGGGCAGTCTTAACTAGCACCTGCATGATAGAGGGAATACCTGGAACTGGACGGTTGCCACAAAGAAGGAAACCCTCCTCTTCTTTGTTGCCACCAAGCAAGCTTCCCTTGCAGGTGGCAGCTGCAAGAAAGTCCAAGAGGTTGGGCGTAGTGTCTGGGTGCGTAGCAGTTGGGAGAAGCATTCTGTCCAGGTCTGTAGTCCCAAGCCATGTAGGGTTGTGTAGGTTAAGAGCAGCAGAAGCATATAAAGCATCAATATAAGTGGACCAAAACAGGTGCTATTTGTTCAGACCTTCTTGTCCCAGTTATTAACCTGGGTGCCATATTTTGCATAAGCTGAAGTTTCTGAACAGTTTTCAAGGGCAGCCTCCCATGAAGTACAGTGTAGTAGTCTAGCTTATTGATTACTAGACAAGGGCATAGCTCAGTCAGCAGCCAGAGCTGGTAGACCACACTCTGTGCCCCTGAGACCATTTGAGCCTCAAGCAATACGGATGGCTTTGGGAGGATCCCACACTGTGAAACTGTTCTTTCAAGAGGAATGTACCCACATCCAGAACAGGCTGAGCACTTTCCATCCTTACTATCCATACTTAGATAGAAATCTGATAGATTTTGCTCCTCCTTGCTGCACTGAATCTCCATGCTTTGCAAAAGTTGCACATTTCACAATTTTGGCCTCTCTCACCATTGATATGGTGGCAATGTTGCAACTGTGGCTTTGCTAATCTATTAACTAATTCAGGGCACATTCCTATGCATAGACAGGCAGAACAAAGACTCACCTTAAAGCCTTAAAATACTTAACAGTGTATTCTTTTTAATTGAAGAACTTTTATAGCTGGCTGAAAAGTTTTGTAATATCTAATTATTTCATTGCCAGTGCTGTGCATGTTTACTTGTGAGTAAGCCCTACTGATCAGATGGGACTTGCTTCTGAGTGAACAGTTGTAATTTTGCTCTCCAAGCATTGCATGCTTAGTAATGGAAGTTGCTGGTGACAAGCACAACTCTAAATCTAAAAGCTTCATACGAGAAATACCACCTGGTTGAGCCACAGGATGCATCTCTCCAGTGGTGATGGCTTTAAAAGTAGATTAGACAAATAGCTAATGCCTGCCAGTGAGGACAAATAGATGCTTCCTCAGAATTGGAGGCACCACACTTATGAATACAAGTTGCTGGGGAACAGCAGTTGGAGAAGGTTATGTCCCCTTTGTCCTCCTTATGGCTTCCCAGAGGCAGCCAGTGGACCATTGTGGGAACAGAATTGCTAGGTTAGATAGGCCTTCATTCTGATCCTGCCGTGCTCTTCTTATTTATTTGCTATATTTATATGCTGCCTTATAGCCCAAAGGACTCTCTGGGCAGCTTGCAATAAAAACATGAGCTAAAACAATAAAATGAACAGTACAAGAACAAAATCCATTAAAATACAAATTCTGATATTCATAGCAAAAGATCAAAAGATCACAGCAAGCAAGCAGCAATATATCTATGTTAAAAACCAAACTGGCCACTAAAAGCACATGCTAAATAAAAGTCTTTACCTGGTGTCAGAAGGCAAGAAGCCATTGTGCCGGGCTGCCTCTTTAGAGAAGGCGCTCCATAAGTGGGGTGCAGCCATGGAGAAGGCCTTTCTCCTGATTTATTTATTTACATATATTTATAGGCTGCCTATAATTGCCAAGGCCTTCCTAGATGGCTTACAATGCAAAACATACTAACAGAGTAAAAATTAGAGTAATTAGAGGGTGGCTCTTGGAGAAAGACCTCTGTTGAAGTTCTAAATGGTTTGGTAGGGGTATATGGAAGCAGGCATTCCCTCATATTTCCGGACCCCAAGCCATTTAGGTTGAAATTTTTTTTTTTAGGTTGAAATTTTTTATTTAAATAAAAACGTACTACAAAGGGCTTCGTGTGTTAATGTCAACATTTTGAATTGGGCCTGGACTACAGCAGGCAGCCAGTGCAGCACGATGTGTTAACTTCCTTCTTAACTTCCTTCTTTCTCAAAAGAGCTGCCTGTAGACTCCCTTCTCTGCCTCTCTTGAAGTGGCATGACCCTGTGTGATTGTTTGAAGTGCAAAGAAAGAGAACTTCTGGTTTTTTCATATTATATGTACAGGACTTTTCAGGATACTTCTTAAACTGCTTCCAATCCCAGGCCTTCTGTGGCCAAATAGGATATCAACTAAAAAATAAGAGATTTATTATTTATTTATTTATTTATTTGGAACACTTATATGCCACCCCATTCACAAAAGCCTCGGGGCGGCTTCCAATACAAATAAATAACTATACGAATACATAAAAATCAGAGACATCCCAGCATAAATATAAAATCAATCAATAAATTCAACAATTAAAATAACGTTTAAATAAAAAGGTCTTAGCCTGGCCCCGAAACGACAGCGCTAGGCGGACCTCTCTGGGGAGCGCATTCCATAAGTGGGGCACCACCGCAGAGAAGGCCCTCCTCCGGGTACTCACCCCCCTTAATATCTTACACGGAGGGTTCCCGGAGAAGGGCCTCTGCCACCTATCTCAAGGGGCAGGAGGGCAGATATGGACGCAAGCACTCCTTTAGATAACCAGGTCCCAAGCTGTTAAGGGCTTTATAGGTGATAACCAGCACTTTGAATTGGGCCTGGACTTCAATGGGGAGCCAGTGAAGCTGACGGAGAACAATGCCCAGTCCCCGTCAGCAACCTGGCAGCAATATTTTGCACCAACTGAAGTATGCGGACCGTCTTCAAGGGCAGCCCCACGTACAACGCGTTACAGAAGTCCAGTCGGGAAGTTACCAATGCATGTGTCACTGTTGCCAGACAATCGATTTGTATTGTAAAGGGGAAGAACTACGTGGAGAGCAAGGACCAAGGTCCAAAGCCCTTGTCAAGAGGTAACCTCTTGCTGGATCTCAGCACACTTACCAGCTTCTAACAAACTGCCTAGGATTGCACTCTTTCAGTTCAATTTCTGACATTTTCACCCCATTTCTCAGTGCTGCTCCATGAATTGTCTTTAGGGGAGTATCACAAAAACACTTATGGTCAGTGGGATGATGGAAAGTGTATTCCAACATATCTCGAGGGCAGCAGGTTGGAGAAGCCTGATTTAACTACATTTCCAGAGGCAGGGCATTTTCACAGCATTGGACAACCCAGGGACATAAAAGATAGCTTTTAGACAGCAGAAATGGTAAGGCAGGGTGTCATTCCTTGTTTGCACCCTCAGCCAGACCAAGCTGTAAGACATTTTTCCTCGTGCTCCCATATGTGGAAACAAGTTACTGCTTCTGTAGTCTGAGTCACTGTTGAGTGGACCTGTATAATAGGTCAGCTTTCTTCAACCTGATGTTCTCCAAATTTTGTTGGACTACAAATCTAGGCACCCCTCAGCCACCATAAATGCTGGGAGATGTAGTTAAGCCCATCTGGAAGTCACAAGTTTGGAGAATGCTAGAGCAGATATGCATGCCAGCAGCACAAATGTTTGTTATTGCTGTTTTTTTTTTTTTTAAATCATTACTGACCTTTCTTGATTACATTGACATAATTACTCAGGCATGCAAATACAACCACAAATTACACTGTTATCGTGCACTATTTTCCCTCCTCCTCCTCCTGTTTGCTTTTGAATATATCAAAGAGCAGGCCATTAAAACTTCCTTGAGAATTTGCAACCCACATAAAGTGAAATCTGAAGTGGCACCCATGCCCCATTTCTCATGGCATTTCCCCGTGTTTACAGTGTTGCTGTGCTAAAAGCATTAAGGGAAATGTTCATTCGGCCTGTCACTTGCAGAGAATCTTTGCCTGATATAGTGCCTCAGAACTAGGTTTAGTTCTAGCAATGCCAATCTTTAACGTTTCAGTATTTTTCAGGAATAGCATTATTATTTTTTATTATTAAGTTGCTTTTATATCAAGCCACCTTCCTATTTGAAGGAGCCCAGGGTGACTTACATAACCTTCCTCCTCCCCATTTTTCCCTCACAGCAACCCTGTGAGGTGGGTTCCTCTGAGAGTCAGAAACTGGTTCATAGTCACCCAGTGAGGGTCATGCTGAGCGTGGACTAGAACCGGATATCTTGACTCTCATCCCAACACTATACCTAACTAGGCCTTCAACCAGTATTTAAAATGTAAATCTGGATAAAGTACAGAATATTATCTGTGGTTCCTACTTGAGGGAAATTCTAGAAAATTCTTCAAGATTAATGGGTTGTATCCAGATTTAGTCATACTTACGCCTAGTTTTAACCCATTGTTTTATCATTTAGACCAGCCTTCCCCAGCCTTGCGCCTTTCAGACATGTTTGGACTGCAGCACCCAGATTTCCCAATCAAGGCCTTGGCAGTTATAGGTGGCCTATAAATACATGTATTAATTAATTAATGCTGGGAGTTGTGGTCCAAATGCCTCTGATGGCCACCAGTTTGAGGAATGCTGATTTAGACATACCAGCATTATCAGCCAAGTCTCTTGCCAAAGTTGCAACATCTTCTGCAGAATTCTTCTACTCAGAAAACTACTTGTGTGGTTACTTCTGGGGGTTCAGTCCTGCATTTATTTATTTAATTCTATTTCATACTTTTAAATGGAGAATTAAGTACAATTGAATATGTAGTTCCATGTAAATTTCTGTCCCGGTTGGTGCATCATGGGGCTGCTTGTATGCTGCAGTCCCTTGTGGTAATGCTAGCCTTGGTTTTGACTTGCTTTCTCTGAGACAACAGTGAACAATGGAAGACTGTCCTATCTAGGCTTCTGTGAACTGTTTTCCACAGTCATGCAATTACAGACAAAGTGGCATTCTAACCTTGAACTTTTGCCCGGATGGACTGTGAAATGATCCCTTCCAGCATCCTCTCATGAAAGCTGTCCAAGGGAAACTTGGCCAAGGCTGTAGATGTTCTCACACTAGTTTAGAACAGAGCACATACTAAAGTTTGAAGCCTTGAAGCAGAATTCTGTGTTATTATTTAACTAAAAAGCCCAGGAATCTTCATGTGATCTCCCAATTCACCCACTGCCTTCTGCCTTGGGTGGTGTGTGTGAGATTGAGCCAAATGCAGCCTAGGAAAATCCTATAGCAAAACAGATCATCGATACAGGCCAAATTCGGGGATTTGTGAGGACTTGAAACAGAGAGGGATTTGCATGCTGATTTCTTTCTGTTTGTCTTCTTGGATTTGTTTTTGGCTCACCTCTGTAAATCATTTCCCAGTCACCAGGCTGCATGATAAAACTGGGGTAGGAAGCCTCAAGCTCAGGGCCACAGCTGGTCCTCCTGGGGTTGTGGTCCAGCCTTCCAGTGCCTTTATCATGCCCTTTCCCCTTAACCATCAATCATTTGGTGGTTTCCCAGCTTTTGTGCAGCTGTTTTCTCATTCTGAAAGGTTGAAATGCCTCTCCTGAGACTGACTTATTGGCAGTAAAAGCTTTAAGCTACACCATGCTGCGGGGTTTTTGTACTTTTGGCCTCACCTTTTGCCTTGGCCTTTCCTCCAAACCCACCCTCCATGAAAGCCTTCAGCTGTAAGAGATTTCACACCCATGTACTGGAGAATCCAGTCATAATCAAATGCCTGAATTTCTATGTCTCTGCTTCCACTAAGCACCTGCTAGGGTTTGTGGTTAAACACAGCTAATGCAGTAATAAGTGATGTGGCATACATTTAGGACAACTAAAATCAAGATTCAGATGGAATTTTATCTATTTTACAGATTTCAGATGATTGGCCAGGATATAGTTTGGATCTGTTTTCATACCCACAGCATTACTATGGAGATCTTGACTATGTGCTCATACCACATGGCATCATTGTTGACAGGTGAGGACTTGTGAGCATGACATGCTCAAGAGCTAACTGTTCAGTTCTTCCAGTGTGGGAACTATTCATTCATTTGACAGCAAAGATTAAATGATCTGCTCATTAAATAATGCTACCCCTACTTAAACTCTGCTGCTTACTGTAGTTATGGCATGTCAAGTCAGACAGACTTCCAAATAATTGTATTTAGGATGGGGAAACCCATCTGCTATAGTGGTAGCCATTTCACATTTAAAGACCTGTGTCGGGGGTGGGGGGTGGGGGGGAATAATTTCCTTGTATTGAATGGATGACTACTGACATTCACTTCAGTTTCTTTTTTGCATTTTCTTTACTGAACAAGTATGGATTTTATTTATTTTTATTTATTTATTAGAACATTTCTGTGCCGCCCCTTGCAATTCTGTTGTGACTTAAGTTAATTAGAAATGCACAATCATCCTTTCAGTGGGACTTGGTAATCATTTTGGTTAAAATGAATGTGTCTATGCCGCAACTCAGATAGAATGCCAGTGCATGGTTTGCACGGAACCCAAAGCATAGCTTGAACATCCAAATGCGCAACAAAAAAACATTGTTTAGAGCTGCTTGTCCAGTTTCATTTTCTGCCCTCTTGAGAGGTTCCTGCATTCACTGCTGTTTCCATGGTGCAGTAATCCCTGGAAGCAGAGGAGTGACTGTATCTCTGGTCTGTCAATGGAGTCATCACCCTAACCTTAGTTAGCATCATCATCTTCCAGTTGGATGATTCTACCTCTGATAAGGACCTGGAGCTCTGAGTAATGTACCAAGCCCAAGTTTTCAGTACCAGCATTGCCGGAGGAGCCTGGACCCTCAAGGAAGACTGTGAAGGGCGCGCGCGCGCGCGCGCACACACACACACACAGAGGGTTCAATGAGCTTCACTTCAGAGGCTTGGGATGAGCCCAGCTGTACCTTGACTGGGATTCTGGCAGCCTTTTTCCATTTCAGACAGAGAGCGGCTGGAACAGCATCTTACTACCAGTTCTGGTGCCTTAAGCTCTTGTTTTCTTGACCTTGTTCCATGACTGAACCTTGGTGCAACTGACCTTTGGAATGCTGGACTCCACTCCCTGGGTTGTATGATTGACTGCTTATGTACTTGGATCTTGGCTATGCCTCAGACCTTTCTCTTGAAGGTTTCCTTCTTGTGGAGCCTTTTACCATTGCCTGTTTATTGACTATTCCTCTCTTGAACTGTCCTCTTGCTGGATCCCTACCTCTGTGCTTGACCTTTTGCTTGTTTGCTGGCTTGCCATTGGGTTTGCCCCTTAATATGTCTTAAAAAGAGCCTGACAACAGCAATGATAGACAAGCATACATTGTGGCTTGGAAATCCATGTAAAATCAGGATTTCTGATACTGATCTGTGTTCAGGCATCACAACAATTATATGTTTATAATATGAATTCAATTATGAATTATATGTTTTTAACTGTGCTGTGACATGATGACTGAATGGAGCTGAACTTTCCAGAACTGAAAACTTAAATGTTCCGAGTTGTGGAGCCACTTCCAGGTAATTTGCCAAGCAAGAGGCAGCATGGTCTTGTGGTGGAAGTGTTGAGCTACGTCCAGCAAGACCCAAAGTTAAGATCCCAACACAATCATGAAGGTCACTCAGTGATGTTTGGCCAGTCACTGTCTCAGCCTCAAGAAGTTGTTGTGAGGACAAAACGTTGGGTAGGGGTCTTGAATCATATATGTCACCTTCAGCTCCTTATTGGAGAGGTGGGTTGTAAAACATAAATAAAAATGTTTACATCTGCCTGTTCTATTTGCATATTGCACTGCATCTGGGAATCTAGCGAGGCCTTGCCTTGCAATTTATTGCCTTGCAATAGCCCCGTGAGGTAGGCTAGTCATGGGCAAGGCTCCCTCAGTAGACCCTTTCTCTTGGTGAGGAGTTTCTTGCCCCCTTTGTTGTTGGATGATGCGGCCCTTCATCCTTGCCTTCTCACCTCTCGAACCACCTGCTTGCCTGAGAGCCTGGGGAGCAAGGACACTGTGGCAGAGCCTGCCCCTCCTGCCTCCAGCACCATGACCTGGGCCAGCGTGGGAGGCAGGTGAACAAGCAGGTTGGTGTGGTGACCAGGACTGCAGTCTGGGGACTCTTGTCATTGGGCCTCTCCTGAGTCGTGGGCCCTGTCAGGTGCCTGAGCACTCCTGCCTTTGATGCGGACCTCTCAGAAAAGGAGCCTCACTCTGAAAGAGGAGACTTAAATTCTTCTGAATTAGTTAAACCACTTACACAGTGAGAAAATGGGGAAGAGCCAGCTCTTCTTGGTGTTGCACTCCATCAGAAGAAGCAGGCACATAATTCAGGGGGTACTTCTTGGTCACATATGGCCGCAGGGCTACAGTGGCAAGGAGCACATTTTCCAACTTTTTCCAGTTATGACCATTCATGGGCAAGGATAGCCTTTCCATTGTAAAACGTGCCCTGGTAAACTTGCAGTTAACCTTTTGTAAGGCACTGTAGGTGCAGCTGCCCTTGAAGGCAGTTCAAAGATTGCTGCTTGCACAAAGGCAGCTATGAGTGTGTTAGCTGGTTTAGGACCCATCTAACCTTGGTTCTGAAAAAATGCACCAGCTTTCTGGCTGCCACTGAGTCCCATTCATGGTGCGCTTTTTGATGTATAAAGCCTTAAGGGATCTGCCTGTCTAAAGAAACATTTCTCCTCATATCATCCTGCCCGTAAAAAGATCTGTAGGGAAGGTTCTTTTGGTTATAGCATCAGGAAATAAATTCTGGAATTCTGAAGCTGGCAACAAGAGCTTCTCAGTGGTGGCCCCTTTGCTGTAGAATGCCCTTTCCCATAGAGGTTAGAAAGGTGGCAGCATTGACTTGGTTTCAGTGCCATATGATAGTTATTCTTTTCCACCCAGTCTTTTGCTTAACATGTGTATCACAGCAGAATAATTAAGAGGCAGTGCGTATTGAATGTAATACTGATTTGTCTATCATGGGTTTTATTGCATGTATTATGACTTTTTAATAACAATTTCTGCTAATTGCCAGTGGTGTGATGTAGCTAAAGCTTTTAAAAAATAATTGCAGTGCCTAGTAGTTGCTTCTTTTTGGGAGGAGCTTATTATATGGCTGTATTTTGTACTTGGTCTTTACCATTTGCTAATGTGGATGCTCTTTTAAATTACTACCTGTTTCATAGAAATTAATGAACAGTCAGTGCAAATGGATTCTTCATGCCCTCTTGACAGCTAAAAGACTATTACAGTGTTCGAACGACAGATGCGTACCTCTTTAATGCCATGGACTGTGGACTTTATCATATTTTCAGCATTAGAATGAGTGGCATAGAAATGCCACTTTCAAATGGATACTTATTTGGATAGTTAATCTGCTTTTATGAAGCCTCTGTATAATCAGTTCTAAGTTGTATAGCTATTTATTTCATATTTATTAATTGCTATGGATATACATAAATTTATATATGCATACTTTTAAAAATCTAAAGCAACACCCTTTAGTTTGTAGCACAGAAAATGCATTGAAAGAATCTAGGGCTTACCATGTATTTATGCTTAATTTTTGCTTTAGGATAGAACGTCTGGCCAAAGATATCATGCAAGACATTGGATACAATGACATTGTTGTTCTCTGTGTGCTGAAGGGTGGCTACAAATTCTGTGCAGACCTTGTGGAGCATATTAAGAACCTCAGTAGAAATTCGGAAAGGTTCATCTCCATGAAAGTTGACTTTGTTCGACTGAAAAGTTATTGTGTAAGTTATGATTTTTAATTTATTTTTTAGAACCCTCCTTGGTTAAATGTGTTTTGATTACACTATGTAAGGTTGGATATGTAGAGAGAAATCCAGTGGCCTTCTGAAATCAGAGGTTCTCATCTACCAAACTTGCCTGAGCAACTCCCAGCAGGTTTCCACTGCTGACAATGTGGGATGGAATGCTCTTTTCGTCAACCAGGGAACCCTTGAGCTGATCTAAATAGTCCCATGTGTGGAGGATGAGGGGCGTTTTGAACAGGAGCCTGACAGAATGGTGAATTGACATCCTCTCCCTCAACCGCAGCCTGCTCTTCTCACTCACCCTGCATCTCTGAGTTTGGTGTTCTAGAGGTGGCCACCAGAGAAAAGCCCATGGTGCTGGGTGAGGCAAGAATGGGATCTGAGATGCCCTCCAAGGATAGATGTTCTCCTAAGACCTTGGAAAACTTTCTGAACAATTGTACAGCCCCAGGGACAGGTCTCCATGACTAGAGGATTTCCTTTTTGGGTATTTAGAAGAAGAAAACAAATACTGTTAGAATCCAGTCTTCCAAGCCTTTGCTGTGAAGAAAGTGACAATATAATGCCCTGGCTTTTGTTAAGAGGACTTGGGAAAAGGAGATGCTCAGTGTAAGGGCCTGTTGATATTATTAGCATCATAAATTCTTCATCTCACATCATTTGGATCTCTGTTTCTCCCATTGAATCAGCATAACAAAAATGCAAGTGCAGAATTTATTTTGAGTTTATTGTGCAGTGCCAGAAAAAACTACAGTTCCTGGAATTGCTTGGGTCTGTTAGACCCGTTGAAAACCTACTTAAGAGTGTTATCCTGCATAAGCTAAGACAAGGAAAAAAGCCTGCCTGAGCATGCTCAGACTTTTGGACTTATTTTTAAATGTATATAGGATTGCAACCTTTGAACTTCTGTACTACAGACACACCTAAGGCTGAATGAACTGTTCACATGGCAAGTACAGTGCAGCTCATTCCATGAGCATAAAGGGGGCCCGTGGAGAATAGCTGAGATCTGAGACTTACTTTTCTCAAATAGCACCCCCCACCTCACCCCAAATGCCGTATGGGGCATTACTGTGGAAACTGAGTAGGCATGCAAAAGCAGTTTGCTATGCAGCCCATGGTTTGATAGCTGTTGAAAGAGAAAAATGTGAAAAATCCCAATGTGCTAGCAGAAGTCCCTGGAGCTGAACCCAAACAGTTCTCTGGGTTCTTGACACTGTTTGTAGTGACCTGTCATTTCTTTTATCATGAGTCCGTATCGCAGCAGGAACGGGGAGCTAAAGTGAAGACGAACCAAAGCGCTGCTTCCCGCAAGGGCTCTCCTGAGATGAGGCAGCAAGGACCCTTGTCAGTTTAGTGCTTGAACACCTTGCTGTTTTTAGCCCGCATCACAACTTGGATGCACACCTAGGACAATAACTTTGCACACACGGAGTGCTTGTGTTTGTTTTCTGTATGAATATGGGTATAGTGACATTTATGTGAACCAGAACTAATTCTCAGAGTCACCCAAATGTAAACATTCCTTGCATAGTTTTAATTTGGGCTCAGCGCACTACAAACCTTTTCACTTTCCTTACTATTTCCTCACACCATTCAGTTTTAATAATTTCTTCTCAGTTCTCCTTTTTATCTAACTCACTTTCCAATTCCAGAGAGTAGTTTTCCTCACACATTTTTCCTCCCTTCTAGCTTCCTTTTACTAACCATTTCCTGTTTCTCTCTTCCTTAAGGGAGTCCTGCTGTTTTCTGTTCACTTTGTGCAGCTGTGCGCTTTCCTCTCTCCAACTGTTTGCCTCCAAGAACCATGTTCAAGTCTTGTAAACACTGGTGGGATTCTGATGTGCTTTCTTGCTCCATGTTCAGCATTCATGGCGAAAAGGTTAGTTAATTATACACTGTATACATGGATTTAACCACTTGGAGCTCTATAAAATTAGTTCAACACACACACATTGGATCCAGATTTAGTTGTACTTAGAGCAGACCCATTGAAATGAATAGGGTTTTAAGTTAGGCTTGACTGCCAGATTCCAGTAATATAAGTGGGTCTGTTCTAATCATGATTGAATCAGGAACCAACCCTCCACTTTTCATACTACTCTGAAGAAGAGGCGGTTTTAGCAAGTCAGAAATTTGTTATTTACCAACACCATTAGTCCGACAGAAGGGCCATGTTCATGTGTAACATGGTCAAACATTCTGGCTCAGTCATCTATGATATGAATGAGCTGTGTGCTGGTGCATCCAGCTATTTGCTTCCATTTGGCTCTTCCCTTTTTCTCCTGAGTGGGTCAACAAGCCAAGAAGCAATTCTGCATGATGTCCAACCCTGGGATTATGGTTAAGTGCATTCAGGCAAGTAAGGACCAGGGTTTAACCAGGGTTTTTTCTTGACTTACAAATCCTGATTTGTTTGATAATGAGGATAATGAGTATAACCAGGATAATGAGGCATGGATCTTGGTCTGTTTTGAAGTGGGCAACCATAAATCTATTTAACACCTAATTGCAATTATGAATTAATTAACCCATTAATTGTCAAAATGAAACAAGAGCAACCACCTAACAAATTGTATCTTAACTCATGATTTTTTAACCCCTAAAAATCAAGAGGATCCAGATTCAAATGTTACATTAACAGCCTACAATGGGGCAATTGTAGATTGTCAGTTGAAAGCAGAAGTGTTGAGCATGCCAGAGGCAGTCCACCTGCTCACTTTCATTTGTTTTCAGCAACTTGTAGGTTAACCCACAATTGCTGTTACAAGCAAACTAGGTCATAGTTCCCCGATTTGGATGCAATGGAAAACAATGGCTTATATGTTTGTATTTCATTCCGTCATTTTAAGAATAGAGGAAAAAAGAGGTTATGTGTTCTTGGAGAGAGACTTTTGCATTCATCTGCTTACTAATCCATGATATGATTGACCAAACACATTGATTACATTTCTACACAATGCTAAGCCCATGATTTCTGTTCGCCATGGATGGTTGTGTTAGCCGTGCTTTGCTACTGTGCCAGCCAATTCAGCTGTGGATTGTTTGCTGCATTTCTGGTTTGCTTCTGTCACACTCGTTATGCCAAGCTTCAGGGTGATGGCATTTTCAGGCTGCCTCTGCTGGGTGGCACTGTTTCAAGATAGCTAGCAGGGTAAATTGAGCAAGGGATAAGCCATAGTTCAGGGTTCAGACTTCTTGACAAGCCATGGTTTAAACAAGCCAAACTTCATAAGCCAACTGCAAACCATGGCTTCTCTTAGGTGTGTAGCTGTTCAACAAAGCATAATTTATGTATGGGGATGTGTTTGGACATCAGATTTCAACAAGCTCCATCATAACTGGTGTTATGAGCCAAACAGGCCATAACACCATCTAAGGGCTGCATATTTACAAAGGGCACAGAAAATTAGAGAGCACCCCTTGTCTGAAGATGTTTTAATTCGTGTGCAACATTTGAAAGCCATTCATTGTGTATCTGCAGATGTTCAAAGTATTTCATATTGACTCTTATCCATAGGCTTCTGGAATATTTTTAACAATACTTGATTAATATCTGAGTCTCAGACTTGGAAATGGCATTTTTTCAGGTACTCTTATCAAGAAAGTAGCTCTTTATTCATCCTTGTATTTTAATAAAGCATCAAAAGAATGTTGTTTTGCTTATGTCCAAATCATGTGATGCAAAGTATAGAAGATTATGTGGTTTGAACTAGAGCTCTCTCTTAAGCCTCTGAAATTCATCAAAATTATTTATGGTATTCAGAACATAACTAATTAAAATATGTGACCCCACCCTGAATAACAAGCCAGGCGCACAATGGGCACATTGATACATTCTCACAAACAAATGCAGTGACATTGGATTTGCTTTTTCTGCATCCTGATGTTTGCCGTTCATATTCCCATCGTTTAATCTTGGTAGTGTTGTCACAAACAGAAGAATCTGTGCTTAAAAACACTGATCATGTACAATAATACTGGCCTTGTGTTTGCTGCAAAGCCTTTGAAGGTCTGGTATCCTCCAGAAGTAGTGCAGGTTTTGGTAAAATAAACATTGTTGACACATCATAATGTTAATGCTCTAACCAAAAACTTAATCTACAGCTGGGAAAGACCTTTATTGGGCAAATCGGCATTTCACAAAATGCTACCAACTTGTGTCACTAACCTAGAGAGCTGCAAGACAGATTAGCTCAAATCAATGTGTGGAATTCAGTCCTTTCTGGCTCTCTCATGTGGAGCTTCTCGAAGCCCCTTGTCTGTACTCTCTTTCTGCCAGTGGTGCACATTTCTTGTGCCCCTGGGCCCTGCCTGAACATCTGCCACCTCCAGCCCTTGGGCTCCACTTTCTCCCGGTCTGTGCCTTTCTTCTCCATCAGGAACTGCCCTATTGCTCAGCTTCTCATCCTGGTTCCTACCCCTTTGGTCCCTCTGCTTCTTAGGCTTTTTCCCACCTAGCATTCCCCTTATTTCAGAGTAAATTTTTAAGGCAGCCTCCCCTAAGTGAGTACACTCCAGATTTCTTTGCCTTCATCCCCATCATCCTCTGCCTGGGGATGGTGAGAGCTGTAGCCCATAGGGCACCAGACCAGGGAAGGCTAAACTAGGCTGACTCAGACTGCTAGGACTGGGGGAGTTAGTCTTGTTTTTTCTGTTTACCTCCAACATGCTGAGAAAATGGATTTTGTAGCTGTGAGTGAATAATTGCTTCCTTTGTGATCCATTGCGGCTTCCTGGTACAAGAGTGCTCCAAAGGGACACTTGATTACTACTGGATGTTCTATGGCTAATTTGTGAAAGTTGTAGTGTACATTTATAATAGGGCGAGTGTGTGCTGTCTGGGCCCAAGAACATTTCCCAGGCTAAATAATCACACTGAAAGGAGATTAGCAGCAATCCGGTATAAAGGCAGTTTATGGAAACTCACTTCCCATAATTCACTGTGAAAAAGGATGTGTAAGTGCTTGTTAGGC